TTAGCAAAACGTTAAGTAGGACAGTCTCTGAGTATAAAAAAACAACACATACAGATCAATACACAGCAATGGTAAGTTCTTAAAAGAGAAGTATGGCTTTAATAAAAAATAAAAAATCATACTCACCTAGATGGCTGCAGCACTGATCCCAGGTGCAGTTGTCCCCTGCCACCTCTAAGACCAAGAATTGAGCAATCAAACACTGCTGATCACTTAGTTCCCGGTCTTCATCCTGATGACTGTCAGTCACTGGCTCTGCCCCTCCAGCACTCACTGGAGCACTGAGCTGCGGAGGGGTGGGAGCAACTGTCTTAGGCTCTCAGCAGCTAGCTGAGAGGCTAAATCAGCTGCCGGTCCAGGAATCTAGATGGATCCTGACTGTAAAGTAAGGATCTTTCCCAAGCCTGGACTGGCTAAGTGATGCCAGTCGACAGCTGAAAAGAGGTCACAGGAGTGTAGATCGAATTGCACTCCTGTAATCCATAGGAGAAGCATAGCCAAAATAGCTTTTTATACTTCTTTAAGGTAGAGAAAGGAGTGGACTGTGGAATGGTGAAAGGGAAGGGGGGGGGGAGTGTAAGTGGTCTTAAACGGTTGAATAACGATTTGGAAAACTGAGGTCCACATTTAGGGACTTATTCTCAAATGCAGCAGCCCTTGTGGCCTCTCTGAACAGCAATCCACTAAGGATAGCTGTTCAGAGAGCAGTTGCCAGGAGCTGGGAGGCAATACGCACCTCCTCACTGCCCTTTTTAACCATAAAAGAGGTTGCAAGCGGTTGCACATGGTTGCAAGATGGTTGTGGCATAGCCCCATAAACTGTAATGGCTTGCGTTTGGCAGCAGTAGTGCATGCTAAATGAGATAGGGTGTTTAATTTTTGCAGTAGCTTGTAAACAGCCCTGAGAGGCTGTATGTCTTGGTTTAGGTGGATGGTCGGGGGTGGAGGGAAGGGTCGGGGGTGGTAAAAACGGTGGGTCCACTGCCAGCATTTACTGTCCACTGGTCATTATTGTTAACGAGTCTTTGGCCCATTGGTTTCCTTATGTTCTTTTATGAGGTGTCTGAGTAAGGAAAAGGACATAGGCACACCTATGGAACATCATTTCTCACAACCAGACAACTGTATGGAGGATATGAATGTCTTGGTTCTTAAAGGAACTGTAAATACTCAGTAAAGGGGAACTTTTGAATTGCAACTGATAATTCTGTTTAGCGCAAGAGATAATGAAATAAATGTGGACCTCACGTTTCTAAATCAGTATCCAACAGTTTTATGACCATTCACACCTCAGTGACTCTTAGCCCTCCCACCTTCTGTCATCTCACCATTCAAAAGCCCACCCCTATCTTTACGTTTACAACTAATTCAGTTTAAAGCAGTATTAAACCCAACACAAAACATTTATTACATTGTAACCTACCAATTTTTTTAGGTGTGATGGCTGCATCAATTCTCTTTTTTAGACTTTCTTTCCATAATTTTCACCTGGTGATCAGGCCAGTAAGTCTGTTGTTTTTCTAAAGAGCAAGCTCTCTTAAAGATGTATCAGTTTACAGGGATGAGAAAAACCATTTAACACTGGTGGGTATGCTTACAATTAGAGATGAGCGAAGTATTCAAAAATTCGATTCGACTGATTCGGCGAATTCGTGGAAAAATTTCGATTCGAATATATTCGCTGTGAATTTAACTTAAAAAAGGGTGTTTCTAGGCTTCAGAGAGACTTAATATTAGTGCAGAACACTGTACCTTTAGTTTAAATGCCCTTGGAGTCTGCTGGGGAAGAGAAATAATACTGTCAGTCAGTATGACATGCAGATGAGTGCCGTCGATCTTAGAATCACCGCACACTTCACTCATTTGGGCAGTCACGGGGCCAAAACCAGAGTGTGGAGCCACAGTGTGGCGGTGGAGGCAGCAGCAATGGGAGGCCATACAGCACCCTATGACAAAAATGGAAACCACCAACAGTGTGAGGAGACCTGAAAGTGGCACATGGCAGAGTGTGGCGATAGAGACGAGACAGCAGCAATGGGAGGCCGTACAGGGACCCATGACACACTCTGGACCTGGCAGCAGCATGAGGAGGCGGTACAGGGGCCCATGACAGATTACGGGCCTGGAAGCAGCATGAGGAGTCGGTACGGGGGCCCATGGCAGATTACGGGCCTGGCAGCAGCAATGGGAGGCCGTACAGGGACCCATGACACACTCTGGACCTGGCAGCAGCATGGGGAGGCGGTACAGGGGCCCATGACAGATTACGGGCCTGGCAGCAGCATGAGGAGTCGGTACGGGGGCCCATGACACACTCTGGACCTGGCAGCAGCATGAGGAGGCGGTACAGGGGCGCATGACAGATTACGAGCCTGGCAGCAGCAACTTGGACAGGAGGACGTTCAGCTTCTGCACCGTCGGGTGCGTGCTCGCAAACTGTTGTCTCTTGGAAACGGATTCCAAGAAAGACTGCTGACGGAATCCGTGAAGAGGAGTAGCAGGAGAAGGAGCATCTGAACGAGCGGAATATGCCAACAAGCGACAACAGGGGCCCATGACAGATTACGGGCCTGGCAGCAGCATGAGGAGTCGGTACGGGGCCCATGGCAGATTAGGGGCCTGGCAGCAGCTATGGGAGGCCCAGTAATCTGCCAGCACCCTATGACAAAAAATGGAACCCACCAGCAGTGTGAGGAGACCTGAAAGTGGCACATGGCAGAGTGTGGCGATGGAGACAGCAGCAATGGGAGGCCGTACAGGGACCCATGAGAGAGACACTGGACCTGGCAGCAGCATGAGGAGGCGGTATAGGGGCCCATGGCAGATTAGGGGCCTGGCAGCAGCTATGGGAGGCCCGTAATCTGCCAGCACCCTATGACAAAAAATGGAACACACCAGCAGTGTGAGGAGACCTGAAAGTGGGCACATGGCAGAGTGTGGCGATGGAGACAGCAGCAATGGGAGGCCGTACAGGGACCCATGAGAGACTCTGGACCTGGCAGCAGCATGAGGAGGCGTATAGGGGCCCATGGCAGATTAGGGGCCCCTGGCAGCAGCTATGGGAGGCCCGTAATCTGCCAGCACCCTATGGACAAAAAATGGAACACACCAGCAGTGTGAGGAGACCTGAACGTGGCACATGGCAGAGTGTGGGACGATGGGAGACAGCAGCAATGGGAGGCCGTACAGGGACCCATGAGAGACTCTGGACTTGGCAGCAGCATGAGGAGGCGGTTATAGGGGCCCATGGCAGATTAGGGGCCTGGCAGCAGCTATGGGGAGGCCCGTAAATCTGCCAGCACCCTATGAACAAAAATGGAACACACCAGCAGTGTGAGTAGACCTGAAAGTGGCACATGTTTGGGGGCATGATTCATGGCGGATTTAGTCAGTTGTGTCAGGAACTGGTGGTTTGAAATCCAGACTAATCCACGCCTAATTCATTTTCACAAATGTGAGTCTCTCCACACTTTTGGGTGGACAGTCGTGTCCTCCGCGGAGTTGCAATACCTCCTGCCGCACTAAACACGCGCTCCGATGCCACGCTACTGGCCGGGCATGACAGCCTTTCAAGGGCAAATTCAGCTAGTTGGGGCCAAAGGTCAAGTTTCGTTGCCCAGTAGTCAAGGGGATTGTTCTACCTCGGTTGGCAGGGTGCTGTCCAAGTAGGCCTAAGCCTGTTGTTTGAGGTCCTGCTCCAGGTCCACCTGATGCTGCTGCTGCTGCTGCGGCTGGTTAGTAGTTTTCCTCACTGCGCTGGTGAAGAAAGCTACTCATCATCGACTGCAGACTGAGGCAGCCGCTGCTGGTGGAGCTGCCACTGCTCCTACCACCCCACCCCTCCCATGCTGCCAATGGCAGCGGAACGCGAGCGCACAGGGCCCACAGTGTCTGAGGATGGACGTTGGCGCAGACAGGCAGAGACCAGCTGACTACATAGGTGGTTTTTATAGTACGTTATTTTGGCCTCCCTCTCAGCAGGTGTGAAAAAGGCCACCATTTTTGAACGGTAGCGAGGGGTCCAACAAGGTGGGACAGCCAAAAGTCATCCCTCTGTCTGATGGTTATTATTCGGCTGTCGCTACGCAAGCAAAGCGAGCATGCTATGGGCCATTTGTGCCAAGGAATGCGAGGGACTCCCTGCCTCCATCTCCACAGCATACTGCCACGGTGCGTCTGGGTCCTCTGTCTCCTCTTCCTCCTCCTCTACCAGATGCTCCTGCTCCTCCACTCCTGTCCGCTGAGTGGAAAAACCACCCATTTCACTCAATAATTCCTGAGCAGCACCAATGTCCTCCTCTACCTCCTCCTCTTCTTCCTGTCCTGCCCCCACAGGGGTCATGTGGCCAGTTGAGATCTGTGCGCCACGTCTACCGCACCCTGACCAGCCATGTTAACAGCATTTGTTCCAGGACGTGCAACAGAGGAATGACGTCGTTCATCCCATAGTCCCTGCCGACTCACGAATAGCGTGGGCCTCCTCAAAGGGCCTGAGCAAGCGCAGGTGTTCACGCATGAGCTGCCAATGGCTGACATCTAAGTTACACAGGGAGTACCTTTATCCGCTTTTAACATCAGGAAATCTGTGATGGCCTTTTGCTGTTCGTAAAGGCGTCTAACATATGTAGGGTTGAATTCCACCTTGTGCAACGTCGCAGCAGGAGAGGCGGTATATCGGGGCCCATGGCAGATTAGGGGCCTGGCAGCAGCTATGGGAGGCCCGTAATCTGCCAGCACCCTATGTCAAAAAATTCAACACACCAGCAGTGTGAGGAGACCTGAAAGTGGCACATGGCAGAGTGTGACGATGGAGACAGCAGCAATGGGAGGCCGTACTAGGGACCATGACAGACTCTGGACTTGGCAGCAGCATGAGGAGGCGGCATATTTAGGGGGCCTATGGCAGATTAAGGGCCTGGCAGCAGGCTATAGGAGGCCCCGTAATCTGCCAGCACCCTATGTTCAAAAAATTCAACACACCAGACATGTGTGAGGAGACCTGAAAGTGGCCACATGGCAGAGTGTCGGCGATGGAGACAGCAGCAATGGGCGGCCGTACAGGACCCATGAGAGACTCTGGACCTGGCAGCAGCATGAGGAGGCGGTATAAGGGGCCTATGGCAGATTAGGGGCCTGGCAGCAGCTATAGGAGGCCCGTAATCTGCCAGCACCCGATATGTCAAAAAAATTCAACACACCAGCAGTGTGAGGAGACCTGAAAGTGGCCACATGGCAGAGTGTGGCGATGGAGACAGCAGCAATGGAGGCCGTACAGGACCCATGACAGACTCTGGACTTGGCAGCAGCATGAGGAGGCGGTATATAGGGGCCCATGGCAGATTAGGGCCTGGCAGCAGCTATGAGAGGCCCGTAATCGCCAGCACCCTATGTCATAAAAATTCAACACACCAGCAGTGTGTGAGGAGACCTGAAAGTGGCACATGGCAGAGTGTGGCGATGGAGACCGCAGCACATGGGAGGCCGTACAGGGACCCATGACAGACTCTGGACCTGGCAGCAGCATGAGGAGGCGGTAATCTTGGGGCCTATGGCAGATTAGGGGGCCTGGCAGCAGCTATAGGAGGCCCGTAATCTGCCAGCACCCTATGTCAAAAAATTCAACATACACCCCAGCAGTGTGTGAGGAGACCTGAAAAGTGGCACATGGCAGAGTGTGGCGATGGAGACAGCAGCAATGGGAGGCCGTACAGGGACCCATGACAGACTCTGGACCTGGCAGCAGCATGAGGAGGCGGTATATTAGGGGCCTATGGCAGATTAGGGGCCTGGCAGCAGCTATAGGAGGCCCGTAATCTGCCAGCACCCTATTCAAAAAATTCAACACACCAGAGCAGTGTGAGGATACCTGAAAGTGGCACATGGCAGAGTGTGGCGCCGATGGAGACAGCAGCAATGGGAGGCCGTACAGGGACCCATGACAGGACTCTGGACTTGGCAGCAGCATGAGGAGGCGGTATATAGGGGCCCATGGCAGAATTAGGGGCCTGGCAGCAGCTATGGGAGGCCCGTAATCTGCCAGCCACCTATGTCAAAAAACTCATTCAACACACCAGCAGTGTGTGAGGATACCTGAAAGTGGCACATGGCAGAGTGTGGGCGATGGAGACCAGCAGCAATGGGAGGCCCCGTACAGGGACCCCATGACAGACTCTGGGAACTTGGCAGCAGCATGAGGAGGCGGTATATGGGTATAATAGGGGGCCTATGGCAGATTAGGGGCCTGGCAGCAGCTATAGGAGCCCGTAATTCTGCCAGCACCCTATGTCAAAAAATTCAACACACCAGCAGTGTGAGGATACCTGAAAGTGCACATGGCAGAGTGTGGCGATGGAGGACAGCAGCAATGGGAGGCCGTAAACAGGGACCCATGAGAGACTCTGGACCTGGCAGCAGCATGAGGAGGCGGTATATAGGGGCCCTATGGCAGATTAAGGGTGCCTGGCAGCAGCTATAGGAGGCCCGTAATCTGCCAGCCACCCTATGTCAAAAAAAATTCAACACACCAGCAAGTGTGAGGAGACCTGAAAGTGGCACATGGCAGAGTGTGGCGATGGAGACAGCAGCAATGGGAGCCGTACAGGGACCCATGACAGACTCTGGACTTGGCAGCAGCATGAGGAGGCGGTATATAGGGGCCCATGGCAGATTAGGGGCCTGGCAGCAGCTATGGGAGGGCCCGTAATCTGCCAGCACCTTATGTCAAAAAATTCAACACCACCAGCAGTGTGTGAGGAGACCTGAAAGTGGCACATGGCAGAGTGTGTGGCGATGGAGACAGCAGCAATGGGAGGCCGTACAAGGACCCATGAACAGACTCTGGACTTGGCAGCAGCATGAGGGCGAGGCGGTATATAGTGGGGCCCATGCATGATTAGGGGCCTGGCAGCAGCTATAGGAGGCCCGTAATCTGCCAGCACCCTATGTCAAAAAATTGAACACACCACAGTGTGTGAGGAGACCTGAAAGTGGCACATGGCAGAGTGTGGCGATGGAGACAGCAGGCAATGGGAGGCTGTACAGGGACCCATGACAGACTCTGGACTTGGCAGCAGCATGAGGAGGCTGCGGTATATAGGAGCCATGCAGATTAGTGGGCCTGACAGCAGCTATGGGAGGCCCGTAATCTGCCAGCCACCCTATGACAAAAAATGGAACACACCAGCAGTGTGTGAGGAGAGCCTGAAAGTGGCACATGTTTGAGGCATGATTCATGGCGGATTTAGTCAGTTGTGTCAGGAACTGGTGGTTTGAAATCCAGACTAATCCCCGCCTGATTCATTTTCACAAACGTGAGTCTCTCCACACTTTGGGTGGAACAGTCGTGTCCTCCGCGGAGTTACAATACCTCCCTGCCGCACTAAACACGCGCTCCGATGGCCACGCTACTGGCCGGGGGCATGACAGCCTTTCAAGGGCAAATTCAGCTAGTTGGGGCCAAAGGTCAAGTTTCGTTGCCCCATAGTCAAGGGGATTGTCCTACCTCGGTTGGCAGGGTGCTGTCCAAGTAGGCCCAAGCCTGTTGTTTGAGGTCCTGCACCAGGTCCACCTGATGTCTGCTGCTGCTGCTGCTGCTGCGGCTGGTTAGTAGTTTCCTCACTGCGCTGGTGAAGAAAAAGCTACTCATCATCGACCTGCAGACTGAGGCAGCTGCTGCTGGTGGAGCTGCCACTGCTCCTACCCCCCACCCCTCCCCTGCTGCCATGGCAGCGGAACGCGAGCGCACAGGGCCCACAGTGTCTGAGGATGGAAGACGTTGGCCAGCAGACAGGCAGAGACCAACTGACTACATAGGGTGGTTTTTTGATAGTACGTTATTTTGGCCTCCCTCTCAGCCAGGTGTGAAAAAGGCCACCATTTTTGAACGGTAGCGAGGGTCCCAAACAAGGTGGACAGCCAAAAGTCATCCCTCTGTCTGATGGTTATTATTCGGCTGTCGCTACGCAGCAACCGAGCAAGCTATGGGCCCATTTGTGCCAAGGAATGCGAGGGACTCCCTGCCTCCAATCTCCACAGCATACTGCCACGGTGCATCTGGGTCCTCTGTCTCCTCCTCCTCCTCCTCTACCAGATGCTCCTGCTCTCCTCCACTCCTGTGTCCGCTGAGTGGAAAAATCCAACCACCCATTTCACTCAATAATTCCTGAGCACAAATGTCCTCCTCTACCTCCTCCTCTTCTTCCTGTCCTGCCCCCACAGGGGTCCATGTGGCGTTGAGATCTGTAGCGCCACGTCTACCGCACCCTGACCAGCCATTGTTAACAGCATTTGTTCCAGGACGTGCAACAGAGGAATGACGTCGTTCATCCCATAGTCCTGCCGACTCACGAATAGCGTGGCCTCCTCAAAGGGCCTGAGCAAGCGGCAGGTGTCCACGCATGAGCTGCCAATGGCTGACATCAAAGTTACACAGGGGGAGTACCTTTACATCCGCTTGTAACATCAGGAAATCGGGTGATGGCCTTTCGCTGTTCGTAAAGGCGGTCTAACATGTGTAGGGTTGAATTCCAATATCCTTGTTGCAACGTTCGCAGATCAGGCGATGCTGTGCAATTCCGTTTCATGCCGCTGCAGGCTCAAGGAGGGTGTGCTTTGCGGGTGTAGGAATGAGCTGAAATGCATGCAAAGTTTACGTGACATTTTAAGGATGTCTTGCAGTGGGAATGGTGGATTTAGGAACCGCTTGACAACCAGACTGAACACGTGAGCCATGCATGGCGCATGGCACAACCTTCCTTGACGCAGAGCAGACAACATGTTTCTTTCCGATGTCGGTCCAACATGGTTCCGATTTTCAGTTTGCGCGGAGACAGCCATCTGTCGATTTCTCTGTTCATTACACTGAGAAGTTCCTCCCCTGAGTGACTACACGTTCGCCAAGGCATACCAGGTGCAGCCACAGCGTGACACCGTTGCGCCCTGCACATGTGATATGCCGGTCAGGTAATGGGACTTGGCAACGGGGTGTGGCGGCTGAGGACACGGCGGAAGAAGAGGTGTAGAGGGCGGACAATCTTTGCCGGACCAAGGACGTGCAAACGTGGAGGCAAAAGCGGCGTGACCTGTCCAAGTTGCGGGGGCGCTGTGACACGGCACCACGTTCACCCCCAGTGGGCCGTAAATGACATGTACTGTCCCTGACCGTAGTTACAGCTCCACACGTCGGCGCTGCCGTGCACTTTGGCAGAGACCGACATGCTCAAAGACTGGCCCACCATCTCTTCTACATGTGAATGCAGGGCTGGCACTGCTTTTTGGCGAAGAAATGACGGCTTGGTCACTCTCCACCAGCGGCGCGGCACAAGCCATCATTTCCTCTGAAAGGTGCTGAGTCCACCACTTGGAAAGGGAGGGACTGCAGCATCCCAGCAACTTGGGACAGAAGGACGTTCAGCTTTTGCACCGTCGGGTGCGTGCAGGCTCGCAAACTGTTTCTCTTGGAAACGGATTCCAAGAAAGACTGCTGACGGAATCCGTGAAAGAGGAGCTAGCAGGAGAAGGAGCATCTGAACGAGCGGAAGATGCCAACGAGCGACAAACTCCCCTCACAGAGGTGTTGGAGCCTTGACTGCTGATGGAGGGCGATTGACGTCAGGTGACGGAGCAAGTAACGGAGCGGAGTGATGGAGCGGGGCTGGGGCGGGCAGCAACCCGCCGTATCTTTATCACGGTTTTTCCCAGGCCACCAAATGGCGACGCTGCATATGCTGCCCACGCAACGCTGTAGTCCCAACATGGGCCCCCCTCTGGCCACGCTTGACTTTCTGGCCACAATAGTTCGACATACGGCTACGTTTACTTCCTCGGCGCGGCTTGACAAAAAATTGCCACAACCGCCGAGTAGGAAACTTTGCCCCCGATACTCCTCACTGGCTGACTGCTGCTTCCTCCTCCCGTGCACACCGGCACCACTACTGGCCATGGTGGTAGGCTGCAGTGGAGCTGGTGCTCTACTCCGTGGGATCCGTTTGGCTCCACTGACACTGCTGCGACCCTGCTGCTGTCTCCTGGGCAACCCCACCGACTGTTTTGCTTGCTGCCACAATGCTGCCACCCTCTTCTCCTGATGATGCGGAAGAAATTGCCCTGATGACGACGAGCTGCCCAAGTGCGATCAACCTCCTCATCATCAAGTAGGGTCTCCGCCTCACTACTAGCCCCCTCGGCTGCGTGTGGGTCAGGAGACAGACCTATCTCTAGACCGGCTACCGAGCCACTCTCCTCGCCACACTACTTCTTCGCCTGGCTGCTGAAAAGGCGGATGTCTCCCCCCGTTCCTGACCGCCCTCTGTTAGCTCTTCCCTCACTCGTACAGTGGGGCTGAGCCCACAGCATGCGATACTTCGCTTGGTGAGGGGAACACCAAAGGACAGGGGCAGGTAGAGGACACGTGATTTCAGTGGGGCTTGGTCCCGGGCCATGCCAACTACGGTTGTGTCTGACGTACCCACCGACCGTTGGCTGTAGTGGTCAGAGGTGACCTGGGAAGAGGAAGACGACCGAGCCCAACCAATCGAACGACGGCAGGTTGTCGGTGGAGACACGACCGCTGGATGACACCGGGAGCACTGGCCTCTGGGCTGCGAATAGTGACTGCCTCGACCCCCCTTCCTCTGCTGCCACGTCTGCTCGCTCCTAAAACATTGCCTCCTCTGCCACTCCTCTGCATGTTGTCTGACATACTCTTTAATTCAACGATTCTGTGTCCCTGAGTAACAATTCTGTGTCCC